TGTCTAGAAGGTGTTGATCTATGCATCGATCAATCAAAATTGTCGAATGCAGATTTTAGAAACTCTCTTAAATTAGAGTTTCAGTAGGTTTTGACTACTTAACATGTTTGGGACTCTTATATTGGCTATAAATATGTATAATGTTGGCTTCCCGAATTTGGGGTCGGGTCGCGTTGTAACCCGCTTACGACCCGTTGGATGGTTCAGGGGCTTGACCCCGAGGAAATATTTTGACTCGGTTTTTGCTCATGGGTCGTGAACCCTAATTAGTCTCTTGTAGCCCGATATATAAGAGTGCTTAGGGTTTGGAGTGGTAAGAGAGAGAGACTGAAATTCGTACAGTAAAAGAGTTAGGGGCTGAAAACTTTTAATTTCTGATTTTACACATAGTGAAGATTTTCGCCGAATCTCCACCATGGACGTAGGTTGTTGCCGAACCACGTATAAATCTTTATGTTCTTTGTATGTTGTGTTTACTTTTCTGTCGTGATTCTTGATTCTATCTAGGGTTCGCTGCGTTTGTTGTAACAATATGGAATTATGGCCAGCCTAGGAGTATAAAGAGAATAGAGAGAACAAGAGTAAGATCTTTAGATTTATTTTTTGTTCTAGAGAGAGATTCCATTCATAATCAAACTAGGATTCACACGAATCCTAGTTTTATTCAATTTAGATCTTATTATTCAACCGATAAAAGAAGAGAAGAGAGGATTCAGGAGGTGTGGATGCTGCAGACAAGCGGACAAATGGTCTAAGACTATCAATGGTGACTGAAGGTTTGGTGTTCATCGGTGTCTAGAGGTAACTAGGGGTTCAAGGATGATTGAACTGGTACCTAGTTGTAATCTCTTTTATGATAGTGGATTGCACCTTACCGGACTAGGTCCTGCTGTTTTTTCCTTCTGAAGGTTTTCCATGTAAAAATTATGTGCTCCTGTTAGCAGATATGATAGTCACGATTTATGGAATGACTTACCATATTAGAAAAGATTTGATAGCCACGAATCATGGCATAGTATATGCCATAGAATATGATGTGATTTGATTTAATTTCTTTTCTTGTAATACAAGCATGTGCTCTTTTTATCTATAAATACTAAAATTGTGAATGAATGATTAATCTTATTCAAGCCTTTATACAATTCTCTCATTCTTTTTATATTTCTACTTAGTATCAGAGCTAGGGTGGTCCGACTGCAATGAGGGCATTATGAGTTTGGCACCACCCTTTCAGGAATGGTCTAAGGTGACATCGCCCATCCGGGAGGTGTTGGGTAGGCGCGGTGGTTCAACCTTAATGAGGGTGCTGCAAGTTTGGCACCACCCATTCAAAAATGGTATGAGGAGATATAGTTGTTTCTTTTTTATGGTTTGAGGAGACATTGTTGATTCTTTTATCTACATTGTTTAAACATATGTATAAAGGGGAATGGTCTGAGGAGACATTGTTGATTCTTCCACCTACATCTTTTAAACATGTGTATGAAGGGAAATGGTCTGACGAGACATTGTTAGTTGTTTACGGTTTAAGGAGACAAGATTGGTTGTTTATGGTTTTAGGAGACATTGTTGATTGTTTATGGTCTGAGGAGACATTTTTGACTTGTTGATCGACACTTCATTTGATAGAAAATCATCGCTAGTCAGATTTGCACTCAACTTGTAGATTTTGAAGAAAGGTGCTAGCAAGACCGTGTTTGAAGATGCATTGTAAAAGTTGAGCGTCTCAGATATCCACACACCAACTCCCGAGTGTTAGCAAATATGATAGTCACGATTTATGGAATGACTTACCAGATTAGTAGAGATTTGATAGCCATGAATCACGGCATAGAATATGCCATAGAATATAATGTGATTTGATTTAATTTCCTTTCTTGTAATATGAGCATGCACTCTTTTTATCTATAAATACTAGAGCTGTGAATAAGTGATTAATCTCATTCAAGCCTTTACACAATTCTCTCCCTTTTCTTCTATATTATATTTCTACTGTTCCTACTCTTCTTTTCTTTGCCTCTTTTTTTTTTTTTTTTTTTTTTTTTTTTTTTTTTTAAATAAAATAAAATAAAAATCCATTACCCTTGGTTGTGATTTAATTTCTTAAATTTGGAAATTGGATCTTCCTTGATAATGAAACATCACATAAAACTGATTGGAATTAAGTTGTATCTATTGGAATTCAAATAGTTGGTTTAAAAGTTAAAAAATATACCTAATCACCCCCCCCCCCCCCCTCCTCCTCCTCCTCCTCCTCCTATAGGTCTAATTTTCCGTGTAGTCTGACGTGTTAAGAGCCTTGGGCAACGGTCCTATGTTTTTGTCAGTTCCACTTTCTTATTGGCTTCCATCTAAAATCTGTCTCCAATGAAGAAAAGAAATCCAAAATCTCTTTAGGTGATTATAGCACCATAGGTGATGAGATCGCAATGTAAACCATCTTACCAACATGTTGGAATAACCCTCTCAATCAAATAACAATGCATTTAATTTCAAGGGCAGAGACACCTTTCAGAAACCTTCCAAAAGGACTTAGATCTCAGTCTCTATTGCATAACTCTACCTGCTGGCCCTAGAGAATGTGAAAATGCAAGCTCAGTCTCTATCGCAAAACATCACATTAAACTTTAACTTTCTCAGTCACGAATCCAGTCACGGGGAACACACTTAAAATGCAAACTCGAGACACATATGTCAAATCTATCAAGATTAGTGAAAAATGGCATTCCTTTGAACCCTTCAGTAACCAAATTTGAAAGAGAAGCCATGAACTGAGATTACCCCCAAGCTTTTCAATAGATGATTTGTTATCTACAGTAGCTCTGTAAATAATTTCGATCTTACTCCATAAAACGATCCTGATTCCACAAAGCAGCAAAGTTCTGGTTCTCTCTGCCTTCCCAAAACCTTGAAAGAAGTTCAAGTGAGGAATGGATTGCGATAGGGGTCAACAGATCACCCAACAAATGCCAAGGAGAACAAGAGAACAAAAGGATGGTTGCCTAATTAATCATATCCCTTCTACACAAGTCACAATAATTCGTACTAAGAACTTTATTTATTGGGTGTTTTAGCCTGAAAGCTAAAAAAATGAAAAATTTAGATGAAAAAGAACCGCTAGACTTTTGACACGATGAAAGATATACGTAATAAAGAAGGGGGAGAAGAGAAGAAAGCTCAAATCTATTCCCGAACTTTCAAATATCATAAAAAAGAATACGAAATTTTGATGACTCCACAAAGTCAGAAATAGGGTCTCTAGAAGCTGACAATACAAAAAAGATGATGAAAAGAGTCTTTGAATGCATGTCTCCCCCCACATACATCCTTCCATAAACGAACCTTAGATCCTGTTGTTTTTTAGAGAGAAAAGTTCTAAGTATTTTTCATCTTAATATGTCTACATCTTGTACAAGTATATATAGGAAATAGGGAAAACTATACAAGGAAAAAAAGTCTAAAACAAAACCCTAGAATCTGCTCCTCATCTGCTTCTAACTCACAACGATCATAATAATCAAATCCCTAAAAGAAAGGACCTAAAGCAATTATTAATCAAATCTGTAAAATAAAGGAGCTAAATATGGCAGTAAATATAGAAAGTCTAAGGCTGGAAGATCAGCTGTTTAAGGCTACTATTAGCTGTCACAACTAACATCTTCCAACAGATCCATTTCAAATGCTGAACATAATATGATTTGAGAAATTGGGTGCTACTGAGAAAAAGTTTTCCAAGGATGAAGTGAGTCCCCCTCAAAGCTAAGTTAGCTTACCAACCTCCTGCAAACCATACTCACTTTTGACATAACTGAGACTGTCTAATCAGTTGGTTGTATCTGTACAAGTGTGTATAACAAATAACATGTAAAATATAATAAGATGGACATATAAAACCTATAATATAGGTACAGATGTAATATATTACTCTAGATCATTTCCTAGATATCTTTTGAAGGTTATCTGACAATATAATTGCCATATATTCAACATTTGTATTCATCTAAGAAGGCTAGTATTTGGCACAACAATTTTCTAAGGACCTTCCACATTCATCTCCGTGGTTGCCACCTTACCAATTCTGACACCTCAATTTTGACACTACCCACACCATGATTCTCAGTCATGAAAACAAAAATAAAACTAAGAAATAAAAAATTCAGGTACACCACATGCACGTGAAAAGATTTTCTCCTTCCCCGTCTCTCATCTCTAAGAAATCTTGACCTAAATCTTGGCTAAGAATTAATAGGAAAGATTTGGGTAGTGAGGAGGGCGTCACAATGGGTCTTATCGGTCTGATGTGATGAGATGGTGGTTATTTGCCAGAGGCTGTTGAAAGTTGCTATGTTTCTGCAGTTGGGAAATGAGGACTAATTACTTTTGCAAGAAAGCATAGCAGTTGCAGAATTGGGGTTGATTGCTTTCTCAAGATAGAAAAAATGAAGAAACACACACAGCGAGAGAGAAGAAAGAAGAAGCTGGTGCATTAATGTCCATCCCAGTAGTACTTCAATCACATCCTCATGGCTCTAAAGAAGAGCAAAGAGTCGAGGCATTGATTTTTTCTTTTTTCCTGAAAATCAACTGTAAGTTGAAATACAGGCAGCCACCAGGCCTTAATTCAAGACAATAAAAACTGAATTTTACTAATGAGGTACTACTAGGGGAAGAGGAAGATCAAAGTTAAAATGGGTAGAGTTAGTAAGGAAGGATATGATAGCATGTGGACTGATTGGGCTATGGCCTTCAATAGAGCAGAATGAAAACATAGGATTTATGTAGCGGACCCCAAGTAGTTGGGAAAAAGGTTTGGTTGTTGTAGTTGTTGAAACTATGCCTGTTTAAAACCTGGACACAATGTACAGAGTTAGCTGGTCTATTGGCTTCCCAAACAGCTCCAAAACCTTGGTTCGCATGTTATAAACTGCAATATCCTGTACATGCTAACATTAAATTTTAAAGATGGTTTGTTTTTCCTTATACTGTGTCGAAGAAAATACCTGTACTGATTGGTACGGAACTGAAATGACACGATGCTCTTCAACCTGGATTTTAAATAAAACCCATTTTAACTTTAAAAAAAGAATGAAAAACAGTAAGGGAACAGCAAGTCAAAATAGTCGTACTACAAAAATTGGAAAACAGTTCAAGGCTTACAATAAGAAGATAATAATAAGACAAAATGGCCAGCAACCATTCTCTTATGTTTAGACACTTCAACAAGTGATTCACAAAACACATCGAACTAGATTGCATCTATTGCATGACAATTAAGAGTTAATGAAAAGAGGATCACAAACAATAACTTACCTTAGACAAGCTCTCAAAGAGCATTTCAAAGAAGAGGTCAATTCCCACATTTCCAACATCCCCTGTTTGCTGCTCACCAAAGATATTACCAAAGCCTCTTATAGCCATGTCTCGTTCTGCAAGCTGGAAACCTTGACCAAGATCACAGCACTCTTCTAGAGCCGCAAGCCTCTCCTAAAGTGCCAAAACCCAGAGTATTACTTTACGCAACATAAGGAACAGCAAATTATTACCTAAAATAAACATGAACAACTGCATCTAGAAAACTGGGAATCACCTACAGTTGGCCTCAATTAGAAAATGCGTAAAACACAAGGGTAAAAGAACAGCTACCTCATCATCATCACTCTTGCCATGGTCTATTTAAATGTGATCGGCCACATGAATTCTCTTTTTTCATTTTTTTTTTCATTATAAGTTATGTCTCCTATTATATCTATTTATTAAGGTCTTTTTTTCACTACTTCATCCCAAGTTAGCTTTCATCAACTTTTTTGCCTTGTCCCTTCTATTTTAGAACACCAACAGTTGGCCTAAAATCAGAAAAGGGTAAAATACAAGGGTAAAAGAACAGCTACCTCATCATCATCACTCTTGCCATGGTCCATCTAAATGTGATCGGCCACATGAATTCTCTTTTTTCATTTTTTTTTTTTTTCTATTATAAGTTATGTCTCCTATTATATCAATTATTAAGGTCATCCCAAGTTAGTTTTGATCTCTACTTTTTTGCCTCTTACCTTCTGATAGGGAAAAATAAACTTAACCTACTTGACCTAACGATAGAGGCAACTAAGTGTTGACCAGCCGCCAGACCTCTTCAACTTTCGAACGATGATATTTTCATTGGATAAGAATGATAATATTTCATTATTAAGGATGATGAAATATGATATGGTTCAATAGGGTAAAGAAAACCTTGGCACAATTTGAGGAAGTCAAAAGGGTTAAATCATATCCCCGACAAATCTGGCAACAAGCGGATCTCCTCTGATCCCGCAAATGAACTGAGGGAGAACAACTATAAGAATGAGATCCTACCGGTCAATAAAGGTACGACAAAAAACAATTATTAAATCCCTACCTTTCTTTTAGACCTCCGGTGACCGACTTGATCGTCGTAGAGCTCTTGGCAGGCACCATACTGGTGCCGTCAATATTCATCGACCTTCTATTCTCTTCTTTGCAGGAAAACGATGTCGTATCGGACCGCGTGGTTTCTCCCCCAACACCTTCTATTTTAACTACATGGTGTATAGATATGGATTTGGTACTGATCCTCAGTGCAAAAATACTTTTATAGAAAGACCTTTTCAATTTCCCCAGGTATGGTTTAAACTCTAGTTCTAATGTTCCTATACATATCCTTAATCTTTGTTCTATTACCTTCTCCATAGTTTCAGAGTGTGACTCCTTAACTTAATTCCTTTGTAGTTCTCACAATTTTGTATATCCCCTATACTGCAATAAACTAGTACAATAATATTATTTCTCCATTCATTTGGCATCATCCCATATTTCAAAATCTTATTGAATAATTTTGTTAGGTATTCAATTCTCACACTTTCAATGTTTTCAAGCTTCCATCAGTTTTATCAGGTCCTATAGATTTATTTCTTCTGTTTTTGTAAATTATCTTCTCTAGTTTATGTTGAGAGAGAGAGAGAGAGTGAGAGAATATATGAAAACGTATATCTTATTGAGTTAGTAATACAATAATACAATGGCGTTTATATAGGAGAAGCTACGGGAGTAAGTGAGTAGAGAACAAGTAAACCCTATATATGGTAATGAGGGGTAGGTGACAACTCATAGAATACTAAATGTACACGTGTGACAACTCATAGAATACTATATAACAATCCCCCTTAAGCTGGAGGGTAAATGTCAATAACTCCCAGCTTGCTACATATGGAATCAATAGAGTTCTTGGGAAGCGCCTTAGTTAAGATGTCTACTAGCTGTCTACCAGAAGGAACAAAAGGTGTAACAATCTCATTCGAGTCAACTTCAGATCGAATAAAATAGCAATCTACTTCAATGTGTTTAGTCCTCTCATGGTAGACTGGATTGCTAGCAATATGAATAACTACCTGGTTGTCACAATGGAGAGGAATTGTGTACTGGATTGAAATCCCAAGTTCCTGTAAAAGAGTTTTTAACTAAGTAAGTTCACAGGCAGTGTGTGCCATGGCACGATACTCTGCTTCAGCATTGGAACGAGCCACAATTGACTGTTTCTTACTCCTACAAGTTACTAGATTTCCTCCTACGAAAGTACAGTAACCCGTGGTGGACCGTTGATCAGAAGAAGAACCGGCCCAATTTGCATCAGTGTATCCCTCAATCCGAAGATGTCCAGAAGATCGATAAAGCAGACCACGTCCCGGAGCACCCTTGAGATACTTCAAGATGCGTACAACTGCCTCCTTGTAAGGTACTCGAGGACTGGTCATGAACTGGCTCACAAGACTGACTGCATAGGAGATGTTTGGACGAGTGATTGTGAGGTAAATAAGTTTACCTAAAAGTCTCCTATACATCTCTGGATCATCGAGTGGGTCACCATCATCCACCTTAAGTTTTACATTAGTCTTTTTTTTTTTTTTTTTTTTTTTTTTTTTTTTTTTTTTTTTTTTTTCATAATTGTGTTTTACATTAGTCCCCATGGGTGTAGCTAGAGGTTTCGAACCAAGATGTCCAGTATCTTGTAAAAGATCAAGAGTATACTTCCGTTGAGAAAGACTAATGCCTTGCTTCGACCGAGCCACCTCAATTCCTAGAAAATACCGAAGTTTGCCCAAATCCTTAATAAGGAAGCTAGAACTCAAGTGATGGATTAGAACTTGTATCCCATCTTTGTCACTGCCGATGATAACGATATCATCTTCACACACCACAAGAATCACAATACCACGCTTCGTTTTCTAAAAAAAAAAAGGGGTCAGCCTGGCTTCTGGTCATACCATGAGTTACCACTGTTTTACTGAACTTATCAAACCATGCATGGGGGGACTGTTTGAGGCCACAGATAGACTTCTTGAGATGACACACACACTCCCCCTTATACTCAAACCCAGGTGGTTGAGTCATATAGACTGTCTTAGTAAGGTCACCGTGCAGAAAGGCATTTTTAACATCAAGTTGATGAAGTGGCCAGTTTAGATTAGCTGCAAGAGAGATTATCACACAAACATAATTCAATTTGGCCACAAGAGAGAACGTCTCAGTATAATCAAGGCCACAAGTCTGAGTGTAGCCTTTAGCAACAAGTCGAGTTTTGAGACGGTCAACAATACCATCAGGCTTCTGTTTAACAGTAAAAACCTAACGACAACCAACAACCTGAGTATCAGCAGGCTTAGGAACAAGGTCCCAAGTATGATTCAATTTTAAAGCATTTATTTCTTCTTCCATAGCTTTCCTCCACCCAGGATGAGAAAGTGCCTCCCTGTAGGACTTAGGGAAGAGCAACAGAGGATAATGCCAAAGAAAAAGCTTGAAAGGAGGAGGACAATTTATTGTACGATACAAAATCGGAGATAGGGTGGTTGGTACAAGACTGTTTACCTTTCTGAACAACAATAGGTTAATCAAGATCAGAGTCCGGAGAGATGGAAGAATCTCCAGGTGTTGAAGCGACTGGTGGAAGTGGCAAGGTTGGGTTTACTACTTCAGTCATTGGAACATGATTAACCATTCTTTTCCAGCGACGAGCATAGACACGAAGAGCTGGTGGGATGTCAAAATAAAAAATTGGAGTTGGAAGAACAGACTCTTGAAGAATAGAGTCCTCCAAACGACTGCCTTCCTGGGAATAATAAGGAACATCCTTAAAGAAAGTTACATCTGCACACACAAATTGTTTACGAAGAGTTGGACTATAACATTTATATCCCTTTTGAGTGCGAGAATAACCTACGAAAATACATTTGTGAGCACGAAGATCAAGTTTGTCTCGTCCCGGGCTTAAATTATGAACAAAACAAACACACCCAAACACCTTTGGAGGAATGGAAAAAGGGTTTTTGTCAGGAAACATCAGTTGGAAGGGTGATTTTCCTTGAAGGACCCTAGAAGGCATATGGTTTAAAAGATGAGCAGCAACCAAAACTGCATCTGCCCAAAAATGTTTTGGAACATACATTTGAATTAATAAGGCACGAGTGATAGCTAGGAGTGGGCCATTCTTCCGTTCCGCAACTTCATTTTGTTGAGGGGTATCAAAACAAGATGTTTAATGGATAATGCCCCCAAACTCAAGAAATTTTGAAAAACATTAAGTTTATATTCAAGGGCATTGTCAGTTCTAAGAAGAAGTAATTTTGCGTCAAACTGATTTTGAATTTTAGCATAAAAGGATTGAAAAACAAAGAATACTTGAGATCTATCTTTAAGAATATAAACCCAAGTTAAACATGAATAATCATCAATAAATGACACAAAATAACGAGCACCAAATAAACCAGTAGTACGAGCTGGTTCCAAAACATCCGAATGTACTAACTTAAAAGGTTTTAAACTTTTATTATCAAAACGAGACTTAAAAGTAGCCCGACGATATTTACTAAGTTTGCAAGCAGTGCAATTAAACTTAGCAAAATCAACTAAAGAAGGGACCAAGGCTCGAAGACTATTTGAATAGGGATGTCCAAGGTGACAATGCCATTGGTAAGCTGAAGAGGAGGTGGAATGTAGAGCTGTCGGAGTAGTAGTTGGCTGGAAGTAGTAAAGACTATCCTTCCCAAACCCCCCACCAATAGTCTTCTTCGTCTTGAGATCCTGAAAAACACAACGGGAAGGAGAAAAAGTAACTGAGCAATTTAAATCTGAGATGATTTTGTGAACTGACAATAAATTGAATGAAAATTAAGGGATATATAAAACTGATGAAAAAGTAAGACCCGAAGTGCGGAAGGTACCAATTCCATGAACAGGTGATTTGGCACCATTCACTATAGTAACAACCGATGGTGAGAAAACATGAGAAATATTAGAAAGAAAAGATGGGTTACCTGTCATGTGATTGGATGCCCCTGAATCAATGATCCAAGGTGTAGAAAAGGAAGCATGGAGACATATATTACTTGAAGTAACGACAGTAGCGGTGGAGGAGGGCTGATTTGCACCCTCACGCTTTACTAGAGAATTATATTCGGCTTTGGAGAGAGTGA